ACTTTGTAGGACAGCTATATGCTAAACTTGACCATTCTGAACAATTTCTGCACAGACTACGTTATTACCTCAGATAATTATCCATGCCGAATTTCGTGAGGATATCTCCTCAAATGAAAAAGTTTTCCATACAAGCATTTTATAACGATCGTTCAGTTTGTATGGCAGCAATATGTGCTATAGTGATCCGAAATCGGCGGTTCTGCCTATTTAGTAGTAATCCTTCAAGGCTAAATGGGCACAGCTCCTCACTCTAATCTTTTACTCATATATACATCTTAGGGTCTCTGATATTTCATTTTGATTGTTACAAGCATCGTGATCCAAAACAAAATTTTTGTCTTCACAGAATTTTGAAAAAATTAAGCTTTTATTTCTTACGAGAATTGAACCACAGATCCTTCGTATGTTAGCTACGAGCCCACTCGATTATTACGCCCGACCACTTATGTGTAAACTGATATAGCCAACGAAGTGTGAATTGTGTAAGTTTGAGGTTCTTCGGAACGCAATAAGAACAACTGGGTTCCCTTAACATTTAAAGTACATTTTGAGCACTATTTTAGAAAGATAACCAGTGCACCTTCCCGCGACCAGACTGAATTTCTGTCATAATATGACTACTTACAATATCTCAAGAAAGCAAGGGCCTTTGCTTATCTGCGTTACTGAGGCAGAAACTCGGCCCAAACCCGTCTATGTTGCCTTAACCACAATATGATATAATATATTTACTATTATTGTATCTAAAGATAGTGAGAATAGTACTTAGTATTGTGTATTTATGAGTGTGTTTGATAAATTACAACGCCAGTTTACCGCAATTTTTCTGATAAGATTGTATTAACCATATTTTTGTTTTTATTTTTTTAGTTCAAGTAATAAAAATGGAATTTTAAGCTTTTAGTAATTGATCTATTGGGGACTTAGGAAAGTTTATAAGCAAACAATGATAAATAAAAACTACATACGTATATATGTATATATATTTATATGATAAATGTACTGAATGGCATATTTAAATGATGCAATAAGGGAAAACAACTAGTATTTGTACACTAGACACGTAACAAGGTTTGTGAGTGAGAACCGCAGGCGCTATTGAAAGCGATTATAATTGTAATATAGTCAATTTAAACCGTAAATTTATTGAGGCACAAAACGGCATAATTCGTTTAACCACTTCCTTAAAATATTACATTAACACATTTATTCCATAAAACGCCACCTTATTACAATGGGTGCTTTAACTTCCAGCAACTGTTATGCCGCCTACTGAGGCCACTTTCGTTTTTTGGCGAAAATTGAGGAAAACTTATAGTGATGCTTTGTGAGGCTATAAACAAGAAGAATAATAATAAGCACGCACAAATTTCTTCTGTAATCATTTAATTGCTATTAAAATAGAATAACTTAAAAATATGTTATCTTCATAGCATTGTGCGATAAAAACCGAATGATAGTCATAAGAAGTCCAGAAAAGTTGTATATTCTAAGATAATTTGTATGCAGAGCGTTTATAAATAGAGAGCAATAAATGAATGAGATTACTATGTCAAATATGAGCGCGATCTGTCAAACAGTTTGTTTACACCCGCTGCTGAAGTCCGTACACCTCAGTAGTGTGTAATGATTTTTACAATGAATAACGATATCGAACAAAAAATTTGTCTCAAATATTGTACATATTTATAACCAAGTTTCTTGAGCGAAATCATTTGGAATATTAGAAAAATCTTACAGTGATTCAGTTTAGTCAGAAACACAAGCCTATGAGTGGCACAAAGCCTTCAAAGGCGGTGGAGAGAAGTGCAATACATGCCTCGTTCTGGACGACCTTCGACCTACTCAACTGATGAAAATATTAAAAAAAAGTCTGAGAAATGGTATTTGAGGCAGACAAGTGTTGGAAAGATGCCAAGAGATTTCGACATCCCTCGCGAGTCTGTTTGAATGATTTTGATGAATATTCATGCTCGACTCGATCTTTCACAAAGAGTACGATTGTGACCGAATTTATTAACCAATACCATCGATCGACCACCATATTCACCAAATTTAGCTTCGTGTGGGTTTTTCTGGTTCCTCCAACTGAAATTGACATGCCGTGGAATCCGCTTTCAGCTGATCGAAGAGGTAAAATAAAATTCGCTGAAGCAGCTGAAGATCATCCTAAAAAGTGCTTATGAAAACGGTTTGGAGGGCTGGAAAAATCGTTGGCATAATTATATGAAATCTAGTAAGCATTGCTTTGAAGGCGACAAAATAAATAGTGATCCTCCGATCTGGGCTCCTTTTTGTCAGAAGTTATGTTGTTACACCGAAGTCTGTGGTTTGTTCAACCCAGCTTCAGATTTTATTCATAATTTCGTACTCCTACCCCTTTTACCAAAAAAAACAAAAAAAAAAATGCATTACTTAAGGCTTTTCCAGCTACCTTGTAGGAAAAATTTTACTTTCTTCACGCCATCCTCTTGTCATGGTGAGACACTGACACCTGCTAGCAAGTCCCACACCCACTTAGTGGTTGAAACTTAATTAATTAACTTGCCACTAGGTGTAGGAAGGGCAAGAAAACAAGCAACTAAGCACATATACATATGAACAACAGAAACATAAAGACAACAATAGCAAACAAAACAAATGATATGCGAAACAACAACTTTGAAAACAACGCGAAGACAAAGTGAAGACACTGGTGAATGGCTTGTTGAGTGTTGGTGTATGGACAGTAATTTAATTATTAATTAATAATAGCAAAACGGCTGGTGGACAGTCAGCAACAATAACAACAAGTAGTACACACGCAACAATGAGGGTGATAAATGTTGCAATAACAACAAGTGCACTGCTGCTGACATTTGCGCGCTGTGAATGCAATTTTAATTGCAAACATTAAGCACAACAGCAACAAAAGCGGCTGCGTGTGCGTGCATGTGTGTGTGTCTGTGTGAGTGACCAGCAGGGCGTATGCGTTGCCGGCGTTGATGGATGGGCGAGCAATTAGCATGTGTGTTTAATAGCGATATGCTTATTTATGTGGATCTAAATGCGATTCCGCTCAAACGAGTGTCATTACATAACTGTAGTTAATATTATTTACCCTGTCGACGCTTTGTTGCAGCCACAAGAGGCTTTCTGCGCGTTTAGTGGTTCAATTTTCGGTTTGCGCTGCGTCTGGACTTCTTGTTGTTGGTTTGATAAAACATCATTTATTTGTTTTTTTTTTTTATTGTTATTTTGACACTAATTATTATTATTTAACTGTAGTTGTTAGTTTTCTTAATGTTTTTTTTTCCGCTCTACAATTTATTCTTCCTTTTGTTTGCTGTGCAGTATGGCCATACAGACAGCTGCGCTTTTATCTTCACCACCATTTCTTCATTCTGGTTCTTCTACGCCGCTATCTTACCAAAATTTTAACTGATAAACAACATCAATAGCAAGAAAAAATTTCAGCTTCTTATCAGTTGTGTACATCAATAAACAAAAAAGTAAAACAAAAACTTTTGAACGCCACTGTACTTACACGCTACTGGTGTTTATTTGGGCGTGTGTTAGATACCACACCTGTCTGAGTGCTTTTGTGTGCGTGAATGTGACACTTGACTGTTTGTGAATGAATTAAATTAATCTTTTGCTTTAAACGCTCAGCCATTCAAGATCTGCAACTGGTTCGCACGAATGGTAATGATGAGACCGGTGCGTGGGCGGTTTTAGCCTGAATTTGGGTGGATCGTTAATAAGTACTTAATAGTAAATGACATATAGTTTTGGAATGCAGTTCTTAATTCTATTTGAGTTTTGGTTATGATATGGTTATATATTGGTTACCAAACACTCATAAGTATTAAAAGTTAAAGTTTTTATTATAAAGTGGTTATATACTGGTTACCAAACACTCATATTG